TTGTTTTTTTGTTGCTTCTTGAGTTTTTTTTTTTTTTTTTAACAGTAAAAAATTTTAAATTAAGTTAATTGACATCTGTTCTCAAACCCATGATAATATATATTTCAATATATATTTCATTTGCTGTCCAACAAATAGCGTGACTGGATGGAGGATTGCTGTTGCTTCTTGAGTTTATTAGAAATAAAAATAGTAGTCACTGGCATCTCCCCGTAACCGGTTTTGAAGTCAAATCATCTTCAATTTTTATAATGATGTGGCAGTATGAATGGGTGAGTGTGGAGGCGAGTGTTAATTGGAGAGTGCACATAGCATTGCTCACCTCGGAATGTCCACGCTCCATACAATGTCTAGGGATGTCAACGGGGCCTCGCGGCGCTGGGGAGTCCCTTCCCGTCCCCACGAATCACGGGGATAGAGATCCCTGCAGGGATTTTTTGCGGAAGGCAGATTTTGCCCCACTACCCCTTCCCCACCAATTAATCTCATCAACAACACCACCCGACTCATCTACCAAACAAGAGATCATATTTCAAATAGAAGCATTCATTCATTTTTCGACCAATCAATTCATTTACCAGACACAAACAAAGATATCCAAGACATAGGCATATAGCATTCCGATCCAATGAAGGACTATAATGAACTAAGATTTTATGAAGAATAAAGGAAATAACGACAAAGAAGCGCCCAAATCTTCTAGTATCTACGCTTTGCCAAAGTTACTTAAATTCCAATTTGTTACACAGTTTGGTTGCTAAGAAAGCTAAAGAAAAAGGAAAGAAATTTGGCTTCAAGTTTAGAAAATCTAGAAAAGTTCAAACATTTTACTAGAAGAATCGGAGAAATGTAACATTGATGGCAGTAAGAGAGTTGATTACTCCAACAAAATCAAAAGGAGAATCAATAAAACGGAAAGGCTTACTTTCTTTTCTTTTCCGCAGGTTTCTCTCCAACCAAACAAAGCATTAAACAAACACATTAAAAAAAAATCAAAAACCTTTAAGATTCAATGTTAAACTCCAAGAACTAGAAGAAAACCAGATTTCGGGGAAATGAAATCTACCGAGCTTTGCAAGAATCTTTGAGGTGGCGATCCACAGAGAAGAAGGAGGCGGAGGAGGAACCATGGCTGATGGAAGCCGCGGAGGAGGAACCATGGCCGATGGAAGCCAGAGAAGACACGGTGTATCAAAGAACAATGGCTGTGATTTGGCGATCTCAACTCGAAGAACTCGAAGAACACGGCGTATCAAAGAACAACGGCCTGAGTCTCCCCATTACCAGCGTTCTCAACTCGAAGAATGCCTACAAGGATCTTCACACACTTGTGCGCCACAAGAGCGCGAATCTGGCGCACCACACTCAAGCTTCCGTTCACCATCCCAACCTTCCTCCTCATTTTACCTCCCTTCTTCCCGCCTTTGGCCATTTTCTTCTGCGGTGCCTTCCTGCCACGGATCGAACCTGGGGTAGGATTCTTCACATTATAATCAAGAGACAGCAAAATGTCACCTTCTAGAAGCAAGGAGAGGAGGATGCCAGTTTGAAACTTGAAGCCGATTGTCAAGCCGTTGGTGAAGAGGTTGTAAGGAGTGTCGGAAGGGATAGGTTCAGGGACGGGAGAATGGGGCAAAGGGGAGAGGAAGGTTGAGGGTGAGAGTGAGTGAGGAGAGATAAGTTAAGGCTAGGGTTAAGAAGTCAGGGTTGGGCTAATTTTTATGGGTTGGGTTGGGTGGAATAAAATTGAGTTAAATTTATTTTTTATTGAATTGAATTTGAACTTAAAAAATTAAATTAAATTTAAAATAATTTTTTTTATAAATTTTTCGTAGGGATTAGAATCCGTGTAACGGGAAAAATTCCCCACAAAATTTCACATGCGAAAAATGGCCCCGTCCCCACCCCAACCCCACATGAAAAAATATTTCTCTCCACCCCGTCCCCGTGACGGGATCCCAGCGGAGCCCCACGGCGGGGCAAATTGCCATCCCTTTACAAACGCACAGCATACCCTCCTCCGGAAAACCGAACAACCATCCATGGCTTCCGCTTTCCGCCCTCTCCTTCTCTTTCTCCTACTCCCTCTCTCCGTCACTGCCAACCTCCACAAATCTAAAACCCTCCTAAAATCAAGTATCTTCTCCTCCACCAATCCCACCTCAATGAAACCCCACCAACCACCTACTTCGAAGTCACCAAACCCATCAGACTTCCCAAGACCCAACCTTGCGTCTATCCCATTCTCCACCATGATTTCGGGTATACATATGGCAAACCCCCGGTTCTCGCAAAATATATCCCACCTTCTCACTGCCCATCTCACGATTTCTCTAAAATTGTCCTTGAATGGAGTGCCACCTGCAAAGGAAGGCAATTTGATCGGATTTTTGGGATCTGGCTAGATGGGGTCGAGCTTCTTAGGAGCTGCACTGCAGAGCCAAGAGCTACTGGGATTGTGTGGAGTGTCAAGAAGGACATAACAAGGTATTACTCTTTGCTTGTTAAGAATCAAACACAAAGTCTTGCTGTTTATTTGGGTAATTTAGTTGATCGAACTTATACTGGCGTGTATCATGTGAACATAACTCTTTATTATTACCCTGATGAGAAGAAATTCAATGACCTTGAGAGCAATTCGGAGAACCTGGCATCTGGGTATGGCTCTAGGGCTGATTTAATCTTACCCATTTCACGGAATTTTCCATTGAATGATGGGTTGTGGTTTGAAATTGAGAATTCCACAGATACTGAGGGGAAGGAAATCAAAATTCCTCAAAATGTGTTTAGGGCTGTGTTAGAGGTGTATGTGTCATTCCATGAGAGTGATGAGTTTTGGTATCGAAATCCACCAAATGACTATCTTTTGGCTAATAATCTTACTGACAAACCAGGAAATGGGCCTTTCAGGGAAGTTGTGGTTACGCTTGATGGAAATGTGATTGGTGCAATTTGGCCTTTTACTGTGGTTTATACAGGAGGGATTAACCCGCTCTTGTGGAGACCAATTTCTGGCATTGGATCATTTGATCTCCCTTCATATGATATTGAAATTACTCCATTTTTAGGGAATATGTTGGATGGTAAAACACATACATTGCAGTTCCGCGTTACAAATGCTTTGAATGTGTGGTATATTGATGCCAATTTGCATCTCTGGTTGGATGGAAAGAACACATATACTGAAGGGAAGCTTCTTCAGCATCAGGTTATGCCTCTTGGCATTTCCTATTCATCATATTTCAAGGGTTTAAATGGAACTTTCTTGACAAAAGCAAACAGGTCCATATCCTCAACTGGATGGGTTAAGTCATCTCATGGCAAGATCACTACTAAAGCCATTCAGAAGTTTAGTTATGGTAACTCAATGGTGATGGGAAATAATGGGAATGTTCAGATGGTGAATCAGGAGATCCGTTCTGATGACAGTGTTCAGGTCAAGAAGCCATATGCTTTCTCCAAAGAAAACAAATCACTTAAGAGGTTTCTTATTGACTTATACTCCAACGATATGGATCAAGGAAATAGAACTTATTTATCGGTAGCTAATGTTACGCTGGGATTTAATGAAAACAAGTTTGGAGTCAGAGGCGCTGGTTTCAGAATGCCTGTCAGTTCTCTTGAGAATTTACAGAATGGGCAGGGCATCAAGGTTGTTAAGAACAAATTGCTTGTCAGTGGAGTTGGGTGTACCCAACAAAAGTATAAGTATGAAGGCAATAAATTTTGCTACTTTAGGAACATTAGCAGTTCAAACTACACCATTCTTAATGATGAAGTTGGAAATGCATGCAATTGAAGAACAGGATCCAGTCTTGGCTTTGGGTTGAGCAGCAGATGGATACCTTCATCTTAGTTAACAGTGAGGATGGTAAGCTATTTGACTATGCATTCTTTATCATGGCTTTTGGTGATGGAATGAAGATACAAGTATGTTTACAAATCTGGCTTCTTTGGTGTTGTAAATTGCAATCCCATTCTTCTAGTCTTCGACTTTTCAGTAAACCTGAAATGTAGAAACTCTGATCATTAATATTGACATGTATATATAAGACAAGGCCTGTTATTAGAGAACAAGACAAGGCCTGTTATTAGAGAACAAGACAAGGCCTGTTATTAGAGTGTAGAAAGTCTGATCATTAATATTTGGCAGTTGAGTTGCTTCAATACACATGCTGGCCTGTATAAGACATCATATTGACATGGATATATGGAAATCCAGTTCTCTTTTGGTAAAATTCAACATCAAGTCCAATTTTTGTGGCAGTTGCCATGCTCAAATGAAGTGTTTGCAGGGGCTTTCATGGCTGTATCCTTTACCAACATTCACGTTAGTTATGTAAATGCTCTACCTTCCATCCTCTGTTTCCTTTCCTAGCTGCTTCTTTTGGTGATTTATCTCTTTTATTTG